GCACATCCTGCTTTTGTATCCGCCACCTCTCTCCCTGCATCTTCTTATGCATCTCTTAGTGTGGTCAATAAGCAAATTTGTCATCTGCTTATTTTGTCTTTATTTTTGTCACCCCTCCCTCCCCACCCAGGCCAAATGAGCAGTAAGCCAGTGAATTGCAGCCGATGCTGCTGTGAGTTATCCTGCGCTGCAGGGCAGCTTTGCATTTTTAGTGCCAAGTTGACTTGAGTTTGTGTGACTAAAACCAGCCGGTGCATCAAGAATGGGGATTTCAGCACCGACCCAGCGCGTGGGAGACCCCCATTCAACCCTGCCACACCATCCTCTGCCCTGGGAAGGATGCAGCAAGTCCTTCCTCCTGGCTTTGAGCTGACAACCTTCCCTTCCCTTCCCTTTAGCCCTTTCTGTGTGCTGCCAGGATAAGGAGAGCCTGCTCGCAGTTTCAGGGGGCTTTAAATGTTGCTTAAAAAATACAAAACAAAGTAAAATAATCCGTTGCCCCCACTTAGCACGCTGTGGTGCACAAGGCAGTGTTATCTAGTAAGTTAAGACAGAGATCCTGTTGAATTCTGTATTTAAATCTGCAAGTATTTATTGAGAAGTCAAATTTACTTGGGCCTGGACAGATCTGGAATGAAAAGTTTGCATTTTCCTTGGTCTGTCCCTTTTGCATGTAGAAATGGTTTGTATTTCCCTTGTTCTGTCCCTTTTGCATATGGAAAGGGGTTGTGTTTTCCTGGTTCTGTGCTGTTTGCATGTAGATATAGGTGCAGTTCTCTCTGTGATGCATAAAATCCAACAGCTTTTATCTGAGCTGTTTCTCTGAGCAGCCTCTTTGGCTGCTGAGATGATTCTCAAGGAGTGGGAGGTGAGGAACCAAACAGGCAGAGCTGGGCAGGCAGAGAGCAGCACCTACCATGTGAATAGGTGTCCCTCCTGGGACACCCTTGAGCTTTACCAGCTGCTACGTCCTAGTTACAGGATCTTAAAATTGTAGATTTATTTTTAATAAAATGTGCTGCAGTCTATCCTGGCATAGAGCAGAACCCTGAGGGTTCCCCTTTTGCTAAGGGGAACTCGTCCCTGTGCTCTGCTTTCTGCACTGGTGAAAACAAGTGATTTTTGGCAAAAACCTGTTAGAAGGATCTCCAACTTCTATGGGCTTGCATCCAAAGACTGCCTGTTTCCTAACTTGTCTCCGCCTTGGGATTTTGTGACAGGTCATGTATCATTCAGTGCCTAAAGAAACTTTTAGGCCTAGTTATTCTTTGAAGGTGAAGAGTGGGTGGAATTTAGAGCTAGCTCTGACCCAAAGACCTCTCACACCTATTTGTCTTTCTACCTTTGAAGGGTAGAAGCTGTCCAGGCCATGCGTTGCGTTGCTGAAACGTCTGTGAGAGATGGTCCCATGTTATCCCCTTCTCCGTTGCCTTGGAGACTGGATGAAGATGCTGGGAATTGTGCATGCGTGGAAGGTGCAGGAGGCTTCACGCATGGGCACAAAACTGGCTGCTGAAGCCTTCAGGTGGCTTCCTGTGGGAAAACAAAAGGATATTTGGTCTCCTGGGATTTTTCTCTTTAGTGCTGTGGGAGAGCAGCCTTTTTGCTGTGGTTTGGAGGTAAACACGGGTTGCAGTCGGCACCGTTGCAATCTGCACCGCGTGCGTTACGGGGTCTGCAGGGAGCCGGGCGCTACCGGGCTCAGCGCAGCCCCGCTCCTCCCTTGTCATGTGCTGAGAGTTCCCCTGCAGGAAGCTCATGTAGAGCAGCAGCCCTGATTAAAGGAAACTAAGTAATTTTCACCACATCAGTGACCAGAATCATGCCATTTAATTAAAATACGTCTAGACAAATAACCTAGGGAGAGCGAGATACCATCTCTAATAAGCACTTGAGGTTTCTGCATGGGGACCATACTAAATAAACTCATGAATAGCTTCTTTCCTTTCCCAAGTATCCCGAGCCTGGGAGTATAGCAGCCACTTCTGGGCTGCGTGAGCATTTCCCATGGAAGTTGATTGGCATTTGTGTCTTTGTTAGAAATAATTTTAACCTGGCTGTAAGTAATATTTTCTGTGGTGTATTGACAAGCACTTGTGGCTACTGTGTTTTTTGACCCAGGTTTAGAATTCTAAGGGGGTGTTTTAAAGGGATCATAAAGAAAGCGTTTCCGAGATGAGCAAGGGTTGAGTCTTATCTCGATTGCTTTCAGGTACGTTTAGCACTTCTTGTTTTGTGGTGTTTGCAGCTGACACTGTATCTGCCATGGTTGTGTGACACCTTTATTGAGGGTGAAGTAAGTGCTTGTAGTAGAGGTTTAGAGTTGCCACCACATCCAGGAGTTGCACAAAGCGGTAGAAATACAATCTCTTCACTTGTATTTTATTCGACTTTTAAAAGACTTTATGTTGAACTTCTTTTTTCTTGCTTTCTTTGTAAAGAGCTGAAAGAAAAGAGGTGGGATGTGTTTTCAAGCGGTTCTCCTTGTTGTGCTTTGCTTTCAGAGGGTGATTTCACTCCATGTGGTGCTTTGCCTTAGACAGGGGCTTCGTTCCACCTAGACAGTAGTTGTCCTGGTAGAACATCCACGTACCCTGGATCTCACACAGAGCAGCAGTGAATGTTGATGAGTCGGTGGGAAGAGGTAAATACACTGCAAAATTAAGAATGGGCAAGAGAGAGAAGCAGTTGTCAGGAAAGCTGGAAGGACAGGTAGAAGTACAAATAATGAACTTAATGCAAATAATGTTCTTGTGCCTGCCAAGTGTGATATTGAGTAATGATTTCAGCTGTGCTGCTCAGGATCTGTCACTCTGCAAATACACCCATAAAAGCTCCTGTTTCCCCTGCCTTCCACTTAACGTGTGATCGGGGCAGCGTCACCTCCGTTGGGTTTTATGGGATGTTGGTTTTTATTTCAAATGACGCTGTCGAAATTCCCATCTCACAAAGATTGCTTTAATTGAAGAAGGTTTGGAAACGGAATCATAGAATCCTTAAGGTTGTGGGTTCTTCAATGCGTGGTGCCTATTTTTTTCCTTGCATAATGAAACTAGAGAGACCAGTTTCATTTTTCCACATTGCAAAAATGGTAGTATTAGAATTTGTGTGTGCTTGCAAGAGCTTATTCGGGGTGAATATCTTTATTTTCAGTGTTTAGAGAAGGGTTTTCTTGTGCCCCTGGGGCCAGTTATAGAGCGAGCGCAGGAGGGTGCTGGTTTTTGGCAGGTTGATGCCGTGCAGAGCACATACGTGGAAATGCAGAGCGTTTTCCGTGGTTGTGATACCTAGAAAGGAGCCCCCGGTGCCGCTGGGTCTCTGCGTCGCCTCGGGGAGCGCTGGCCGAGCCGGCCGCATGAAGAGCCTGCTCGGAGCCCCCAAAAGCTGCCCTTGGCCCCGGTTTCTTGCTCGCCAGCTCAGTGCAGGGAGGTTTGAAGCTCTTCTGCATCGCAAACTGCTGCTGTGGTGAGCAGGGCCCTTCCGACGCTGCAGAGAAGGTTTTGCTCTTCCCTTCCCTTTCTCGTTTCCCAGATCAGCACAATACCCCTTCCAAACCTCGCCTGTAAATTCAGCGGGTGACTTTATTTTCCTTCATTTCTGAGTGGAGAGGGCCACCGAAGGCTCCCCGTGTTGAGACCTCAGCTACAAGAAGCCTGACGTTTTAGTCTGACCCTAGAGGTTCACACTGAAATGCAATCAGCCTCAGAAGGGCCCTATTTTTAGAGCTGCAGCGTTGGCTTCTAGTCCTGAGCTGTCATGTGCTCCCGTGTGTGATTTTTACTCTTCTTTTCTTTAAAGAGTCAGAAAAGGGTCTGTCAGCTGTTTGCTCTGTGCATGCTGCAGTTTATACCAGCCTTAAAGGAACTCCATGTCTTCATTCTACTTATTCTTACTTATTCTACTTAGGTTCTCCTAAATTACCATCTTCTGTCATTGGTTTTACACTATAGCAAACAGCCTGATCTTCAGGGATGTTTTAGATTCTCCATGGAAGTTCAGCCCGTTCCCTTGGAGGGCTGGGCTAGAGAATGGGGCCAAGGAGCATTTCCTTGTTAATCTTGTCTTTTCCTGAGCAGACAGGAAAAAAAAAAAAAAAGTCCCGTAGTTAATTCTGAAGATTAAGGTGCTCACAGGTGAAGTTGAGTGCGTGATGCAAGTGTGTGCAACGCTATCAAAACCAGCCTTTAAGCAGCTGTGAATCAGGGAGCCACTAGAAGTTTGTGGGGTTCACTTAATATTCTTAATCCAGAGTCTGTAGATTTTTGGAGGCAGTAAAAGGCTTGGCATTGGGATGGAAGGGAGCTAAGGCCAAAATCCACTACTGGAGGAAGAGAAAGCAGGATGAGGGGAAGGTGTAAGGAGCAGCCTAAGTTTCTGGGGCAGGTAGCAGAGGGTGCCCGAGCGCGCGGGGCTGGTAAGTGCTCAAATACCCTGCACCGAGCAGGGCGCCGGGGAGCCGGACACAATTCCAGGAAGCGCGAGCAAGGAGGGGCTCGTAGCAGCAGGGATTGTTTCATTTAGCAATTATTTGCCTCAGAGAGGAGATTTAAGAAGGAAAGCAGAGGATGTGAGCGGCCGAGAGCCCTTCCCTCCTCCCCACACCCTTCTGCACATTCCCTTCCTCAAGGGAGACGGGATTCGTGTGCGAAGGGATAGTGGGGAGTTTGCTGACCATGTGCAATAGATCTGGGGGAGGTTCAAGAGCTCGGGGTCTTTTTCATGGGCTGTGACTACTCTGCTGTGTAACCTTGCATGAGTTAGTCCCCTGCTCTTCTCCTTTTGCCTTTCCTTTTGCCTGGTAGGTGGATTTGAAGGTTGAACTAAAGAATATGCTATCTTGCACATCAGGATTTTTTGGAGTACAATGAGGTGGAGAGTGTTAACGATTAGTCAAAATATGTATTTTTTTTTTCCTGGTCCATTTAAGAAAATTCTTGTCCCTCCTGATCTGATGTTATTTCAAATGCTTGATTTTTCTTCCTATTATTATTATTTTTCAGGGTGGTAAAGGAAGAAATCTCAGATGACAATGCAAAGCTACCGTGCTTCAATGGAAGAGTGGTGTCCTGGGTATGTTGGTTCATGCATCTCTATGTACACATTGATTTATTGACGACCTGGCAAGGGAGTTGGTTTCTGATTGTTGGAAATGCCTTTACATGTTGCATCCCAGTTTACAGGGAAGCAAAACCACAGTTTTCCATTCTGTCTGCAACATCTTATTTCATAACATGCAAATGTTTACCCATTTACCTTTTGTTGAGAACAGTAATAGGCAAGTCCTTGATCCTTGTTAAAAATGCCTTCTGCAACAGAAGGTGAAGGTAGCAGCCAGCTTGTCATCAGCAAGAGCTGGAAGCCTGTGCCCAGCAGCCAGTGCCATAGTGCATTAAAACCCCATTTATTTCAGCTGTGACACGAGTAGTTGGACAAGAGTTGGTGAGCACAGATTGTGCAGGCAATAGGAATGTATATGTTTCTTCAAAAGACTGATTCCCTCTTTCCTTCCTTCCCATCCATCAGCTTCTTTTCAAATTTTTATGTGTATCCCATGCATGTGGATTCAGTTTATAGCACAGATGCTCTATACTGGGTTATAGTACAGATGATTTAAAGCACTTTTTTACAGATGAATCGGACAAAAGCTCCTGTTCATCGTTCTGAGCAATCAGCTGGGGCGTCTGTGCCTGACCTACATCACCAATTGCAAATCACTTCATTTTTTGCATTAACACCCATAAAATTGTCATGCTTATCTGCTTCTCCTTGCTACTAATTATTGTAGGAGTTTTATGTAAATCTTACTGTAAATTAATTGTCCACAGTTTGGAATCCTCTAATACCCTATTCACTGGAGCTGGATAGATAATTGCATCCATAAACTCCGGGGTTAGCGGAGTTGCTCTTTACATTTAGGCAGGGTCCTGTTCTTGTTGGCTTCCCATGTGATGGGCCTGAGCTGCCTTTGTCTCTCTTGCTGCTATAAAATATGCATCAGCTGGTAGCAGACAGCTTGGATTGTGTCACCAACCCATCTGTGATGACTGTCCTTCTCCCTGTGCGTTGCTGCAGCGGGGATGTGCGCGTTCCCCGCGCAGCTTCCGCACTAGAGCCGGGCTCTGCCCTCCCTCTCCGCTCCCTCGGCTGCTGCAGTGACTGCTTTGATGCTCCCAAGGTGACTGGTGTTTGGAAAGCGGAGAGTTTCATCTCTTTTAGGAACAGCTGAGTCTTTATATTTGTCATAGGCAGGAACTTTGATCTCGGTGTCATATGCAGAACATATTTCCACTGGAGAAAGCGTTTAAGGGAGGCTCTGTGAGCACCGAGTGCCCTGGGAACTCAGTGCAGTTAGGCTAACACTGAATGGGGATCGTGCTCCTAATTAGCTGTTTGGAGCTCGTCCCATCCCTGCTGTGTGCTGCTTGCTCTTCTCATCTGCATCTGACATTTTGTGCTTTTGTTTGGTTTATTTATTTTAAAGACCAAGTAATTTGAGGACAGAGGGCTTCTGCTCATGCGATTCACAGAGTGTCTGTGGGGTGCAGCTTGATTTGCCTTTAGGATTTTCAACAACATAGACATCACCATTAATTATTTGGCAAATACTTCATTTGGTACTTACTATTGTAACTGTACTTACACAAACACACTCTATTTCCTGCCTATTTTACATAGGAAAGAATGGAAGTGGAGCTGACAAACTGACATACACATTGATAGGAAATGAGATCTCTACATATGAGATAAATATGAAGCAAACCTGATTTTAATGTGATTTTCTGAGGTCTGTGACACCACCAGTCCCCAGCTCCTCCTTCCCCCAAACTGCAGGTACCAGGCAAATGCCCTGGATTCGGGCCTCGTTGTTGCCTCCTGAATTTGATTACCTGGTCTCAGGAAAAGGAGGGTTGTTCATTCCTGTAATTGATGTTGTCACTGTCCCGTGCCATCCTGTTGAGGTTTGTTGTTAGAACTGTCTTTACGTGGTTTGTTCTGGAGCAAGGTCACTGTGAACGTCCGGGCCAGCTCAGTGGCTCATACCTGAAGGCTGATAACAATCTCTGACTTGATAAAGCTGCTCTGATTATTGCACTAGCCAAGGATCAAGCCTATTGTTTACACAGATTTTCCCTTTTCATTAGCACCGTATTTTAATTTTGCTGCAGGCAGGAGCAGACATGGGGTGCCAGCTTCCTCTCATTGCTTTAGCTTTGGCCATTAAATCCCAAAACTCCATACAAATGTCCTGGCTCCAGATACTGAGTATCAGCACAGGCCATCATGAGCTGTTTTCAGCTGCCTGGCTTTGCTCTGGACGTTGTGTTCTCCTTCCCTTTTCCCTCACGTTCACTGACACAATCCTGTAGCTGGTCTGTGTTCCAGGGCAGCTGATGAACAGGGTTTTCTGCAGCCTTTCAGTTCTCTTGGGCACCTCAACCACCAGGTGATCACCCTGACCTGATGTCATGGTTATATTTCCCCTGCCAGCTCGAAACCCTGAATAAACCAGCTCTGGATATATTCCCACAGAAGCAGATTTCACTTTTGACAGGACAACGAGCAATCCAGCGTTATGCTATCCAAGAAAAGTTTAGTAGTTTAGCAATTCTCACCTTGCTGACTTCGACTGAAGATGACCGTCTGCAAGATTCCCTGCTTTCCTAAAAGAAGGGATGTCACTTGTGATTGTGCTGCTAGGAAAACCGATCCTTTTAGCTGTGTCAAAATCCTTGCCCAGTTCTGTGGGGCACAGCTGGAGCCCTGGTGAGTGCATTTTGGTGCGTTTTGCCTTTCATTAGCGTTCTAATAAGAACCATAACACAATTTGTCAGATGCACTCGATGGGAAAGTGTGACCTTCCCCATTTGTGAGCTAAGCCACAAACAAACTTTGTTTGTCTTGGAATATGGATCTAAGTTACGTTCCAGCTCTTGCTTCAGCTCGACTGCTGTGCAGTTAGTCGTATGCGTGAAGAAAAGGTTGTTAGAACTTGCAGAATAAGAAGGAACATCAAAAGTCTGTTTAAAACAGAAATAATAAAAGAAAACCCAACCCAAACTTTGTATGCTGACATGGACAGAAGTGTTTGTGCCAGTATGAGGCTGTGGGACTTAGGGCCGGAGATGGAATCTGGTTTTGGGAGAGGGAGAAGAGGCAGGAGGGTGAAAAATTTGAGATTCCTGTAGGACATTAGACTTCAGAGTGCCAGTGTGCATCTATTTGAGCACTTGCCTCTTCTAGGCATATAGGGCAAGCATTTGTAAATCACTAAGTACTTGTGAAAATCTTGAGGCAGATACCTGGTTTTAAATGAGCAAAAGCTCCTCCGTAAGCAATATCGGGTGTGCACATCTGTCCCACGGACACGGGACTGCTTCATGTGAGTGGTTCTGGCTGGACCTTTTGGAAAAACAGCTTGCAAGGAAGAATATCCGTTGTCTTTTTGTGTGTGTAAAAGTTTAAAATGCTTTCCTAATTTTTTCTACATAATCCAGGGACAGCACGCAGAGGAAACTGGAAACGTGGAAAGAATTGGCCTGTGGTGATGGTGAATTAGAACACAAATAAACACATTGCTGTCAGAATATCCGTTGTCTTTTTGTGTGTGTCAAAGTTTAAAATGCTTTCCTAATTTCCTACATAATCCAGGGACAGCACACAGAGGAAGCTGGAAACATGGAAAGAATTGGCCTATGGTGATGGTGAATTAAAACACAAATAAACAGATTGCTGTTGATTTCTAGTGTATAACACAAAATGATTTCAGGGTATCTTCTCCTGGTGGATTTTACACTACATTCCAGCCCAGTGTGGTGGTTCTGAGAAGAAGAAAACTCTGTGGTGCTCTCAGGAACTCTGTGGGTATCCGAGCTGGTGGTATTTCATGGTAGGATTGAATGCAATGGGCTTTTTTGAAGGATTAACAGGAATCCTCCAACGAGCCACCAAGCACTGCTTCTCCCTCGAGTTCCTTTAGGTTTCCCAGGGTATGCAGAAAAGCAGGGCCTGTGTGGAGGTGGAGACACTGCACCGACGTGTCCTAATTCCCTGTCCTTTCTGTTGACAGCTGGTCCTGGCTGAAAGCTCTCACTCTGACACAGGTTCCCAGTGCACCGAGAGCCACACGGACCTCCCGCCTCCCCTCGAGAGAACGGGCGGCATCGGAGACTCCCGGCCCCCCTCATTCCAGTAAGAGAACGTTCTTTTTTTTTTCCTTTAAACCAAAATATGCATTTCTGGTCTGCCTCTTCCCTGTGTTTCTCTCTACTGCTGCAAACTAGCTGTTTATTGTTACCATTACAAAACAACAATATCAATACAATATCCTGCCCGGCTGCCCCGAGGTGTAAGCAGTGTGGCTTCCTTAGCTAAACGAGCTTCCAGCGGCTCTTGCATAATCTAATTTACAGAGTTTCTTCTGCTTA